ATTATGTGGTAATAACTATGTATGATTGATTATTAATGAACTCATGGATCAGTCAGTCATTCTAAAGAAAGAGTGTCAATCCGGTTCCAGAAAGGGCCGTGTGGCTGTAGGTTTCCACCCTAAAAACATGCACAATAGATAAGAATGTAAATGAGAGAGTGAATGGACGGTGTTGATTGCGGGCTTTGATGGTCCAGTGTGTGCGGCGTCTCGCTTCTGTCATCACCGTGTGTGGAATGATTGGAACAATATCTGAACTCTGAACATTGTAAAGCGCTTTGGGTGACCTTGGTCTGTAAAAATGTGGCTATAAAAATAAACAATACTTACTTGCTTACTTTTGTTTCAACCTGAGCAGGAGCAACACCAGACTCCACCCATGCTTAGGTTGGAAGTATAACCCACGGTCTTTTGAGGAACGGTTTGACACCCCTGTTCTAAAGCTTCACTTATACTTCATCAAGATCATGCTATACCAAATGTGTTAGTGTTGCTACATAAAATAAAATTCTCCAGTGCTTTAGGCAGTTTGAGTTGTTAAATGATGATTTAGAAACGGTGCGTTCCAACCTGTGACCCGCTCTTGGCCGTGTGTGTGGTCAGTACGCAGACCCGGTGTCAGACCTGCTGGACAAGTGGGGCGCGTTCCGCTGTCGTCTCTTCAGGGAGTCGTGCGTGTTCCACCGAGGGAACTACGTGAAGGACCTGAGCCGCCTGGGACGAGACCTCAACAAGGTCATCATCGTGGACAATTCCCCCGCCTCATACGTCTTCCATCCCGACAACGCTGTGAGGACCACACACATGCATGCATACATTACACGCACAAATACAATAGACGCACGCTTGTATACTTACATACATATTATACACAGACATACACATTATATGCACATACACAAACGCACCCACACACACACTACGCACTTGCATATACGCACATACACTTACTCATATACATGCACACACCACAAATACACACACGCATACACTTGATACGCATGCACACATATAGACTTGATACGCATACATTACACACATGCACACACACGCATGCAGAACAGTGTTGAATTGTGCGTATAGTGTAAGTTTATTGTGGTGAATGTGTGTGCTTGCAGGTGCCGGTGGCCTCCTGGTTCGACGACATGTCCGACACAGAGCTGCTGGACCTCATCCCGTTCTTTGAGAAGCTCAGCAAAGTGGACAACATCTACACCGTGCTCAAGCAGCAGTCCACGCCCGCCAGCTAACCAGGCCCAGACCCAGACCAAGACCCAAAGTCGCCGGTGCAGGTCCCTCACTGCCACAACCGCCTCTCATTTTAACTACTTTGTAGATAATCGCCCACTGGAACGACTGATTAAGAAATAATGGGCCTGTTGATGTTTTTGCAAAGGTTTTAAAATAACTCGCAAAGTACTGTTTGAAGCCTTTCGACACAGCATTACAAGAAATCACACTATTCCCTTAAAATCCAAGGTGCCTTTATTTTAGTGACATATCAGTGTTACCACGTCAACCAGATCTACAGTTGGACCGCACTTTATGTGAAAAGCCAGTGCCTTGTTTTTGGAAAGAATGAACGAAGCTCCGTGGCTGCAGTATTTCTGACACTAAAGTACAGCAGCCGCTCAGAGGGGGGTGTTCTCTGTGCCATGTGCTTCGGGAACGTTTTGGGGACCACGGCTCTTCTCCCCCGCGCCTGAGCCCACGTGGAGGCTTTGGGATACTGCACGCAACACTTGAAAAGCCCACAGACTTCAGAGACAAGCAGGAGAAGAGGGGATCCAGTCCAGCCTCAGTGCTCCGAGGCCATTCAATATATACAAGAAAAATGGCAATAGCAGGAGTAGAGGAAGGAAAGAAAACGGTTTCATTTAATTTGACCTTTATTTAACCAGACGCACTTCTCTTTGGTCTCAGACTTTGCAAAGTGGCCTTAGATTACAGACTCTGTATTCAATGCTTATTTGTCAGCAAATTATTACAAAAACATGTTTGTGGATGATATGGCTGCTCGTTACTGCTTATTACTAAAACAATCAGTGATTTCATTAATTATTGAAATCACAATTATTAAAACAAAATTTAATAAAGCTCAGAATTCGCACTAACTAATTTCGCAATCCGGCCGAAAGATTTGATACTTGAATTTGAACTGCGACCGGCTCTAATTTTGTGCCAAAATATACGCTTGGAGCTCATCTGACTCTGATTGGTGCGTTAGAGCAGACCCCGCACACAGCTTAGCCAACTATGAAAAGGAAAAAAAGCTCTCGCACACTGTTACTTGCATAAACCATGTTTGTATGTTTTTTATTTACTGATGAGCAATGTTTGAGCCGTGGGCCTTTTGCCACCATAATCCTCTGTAATGATAATGATAATAATTTAAAAAACATGGTTTATGCAAGTATATCATGTAGTGAGGGTTTTCCTTTTCAATATACTTATAATGTGCCATAGTACTATACCATTTAAATCAACAGTTTCACACTAAATGTCATTGTAAATAAGAAAAAACATTGCAGAATATACTTTCTCTTTTATAGGGTTTTATACTCTGCATTAAATAAAATCCAGGTAAATTTCACAAGAGCGGAGTAGCGACTCTACTCCAAGCCCCTGGTGTGTTTGAACCACCTTTTGTATTACAGTGGCTCAGTCATGTTATTTGCCAAATATGGCCCTGCCACTTGGTCACTTCCTGGACCTCCTCTTCTCCTGTCTGTGTCATGTTTTTGGTACACGTAAAGCCAATGTCAGTATGTGCCTCAGAGCCGCCTTACGAAGACTCGAAAGCCCGCCACGCTGTTCCACTGAGGCAACTTTCTACTTTTATCTTAACTTTTGATTATAGTTCCATGGAAGCGTTGACAATATTAGACCATTGTGAATGAAAATGATGGATAGAAGCAAAACAAACAAATAAAAGACTCAAAATTCCATCGTAATAAGAACTATAACATTATTTTTCTATATTTAACAATATTTCAATCAAATTAGCATGTTTTTTTTTCTAAACAATTCTGAATTAATTTTTTCTCGAGTGAATTTTATGTATATAATGTTTCGAGAAATGGTTATTTCATGTTTGCGATCAGAAACACCAGCAAAAATAGTGAATGCAGATCGACAGGGTTAAAATGACACGATTTGTAAGGAAATTATTAAAAAAGGTATTTATAGGTGCCATGTTTTCACTAAGTGCCCATTCGTCGCTCACATTATGTATATTTTTGTTTTGCACGGTCAGAAAAGTGAAAGCAAGCAAAAATGGTTAATATATGGATTCTTCATGTTACTATACTCATGATTGAATAGCTGTAACCTTATTTTTGACCTGTTGTTTTATCATACCAAATTATATATATGTATGTATGTAATAATGCCATTTTCCCTTCATCATAAATGCTAAATCAAAGACTGCGATTTCATGTTGTGATTTCCATTTTTCATTGCCTTTATACTCTTATGCAAACAGTTTTGGTCAGATCCGTGAAGATGCAAGCTCGCTCACAACCCCTGAATAGATGATTATATCCACTGCTGGGTAACAGTAGCTTAGTTGGTAGAGCATCGGCCTCTGGGCCTGACGGTCGGGGGTTTGAGCCCACCTACTCCAACTGCTCCCACAAATGCCTACTATCGTTGTGTCCTTGGGCAAGACACTTAACCCCATGTTGCCTGAAGCCCCAGCTGAAAGAAGATCAAGGCTGCGTCAAGAAGCAATCTTCCCATGGACCCACCACCTGCTGGACCCACCACCTGCTGGACCACTGGTGCTATCAACATTGGGTGGCAGCTCCCGTTGGCAACCCCTCCGACCCAGAAATGGACTAATAAAGGGGCAGAAAATGAGTGAATGAATATTCAATGCTGTTCTATAATACAATACATGACGTGAACATTTACGCTAGGGTTGGGCCTTTAATATTAGTTACAGAGAATGTTTGAAATCGTAATGTTGCCCTCTTGTGGTGTACTGCACAAACCACATCTCTGCTGCAAAACTTGCATTCAGGTTGAACATTATTTTAAATTTGTCCAATTACTGGTTGAAGTTTGCTGTATCAGAATGAGCAAAACGTAATGCTTCACCGTTAATCATGATTAAATATTATATACATTTAGTGTACTTTTCTTGAGAGGGAAAGTCACATGATTTATTTGAAAAATAGATACAGTGGGGCAAAAAATTGTTTAGTCAGCCACCAATTGTGCAAGTTCTCCAACTTAAAAAGATGAGAGGCCTGTAATTTTCATCATAGTTATACCTCAACTATGAGAGACAGAATGAGAAAAAAAAATTCAGAAAACCACATTGTCTTATTTTTAGAGAATGCATTTGCCAATCATGGTGGAAAATAGGTATTTGATCAATAACAAATTTGATCTCAATACTCAACACCCTTTGTGGCAATGACAGAGCTCAAAAGTTTTCTGTTAGTCTTCACAAGGTTTTCACACACCGTTGCTGGTATTTTGGCCCATTCCTCCATGCAGATCTCCTCGAGAGCAGTGATGTTTTGGAGCTGTCGCTGAGCAACACAGACTTTCAACTCTCTCCAAAGATTTTCTATGGGGTTGAGATCTGGAGAATGACAAGGCCACTAAGTTGTGTCTTTGGGATGATTGTCATGCTGAAAAAAACCCAGCCACGTTTTAGGATTCTTTTTGAACTACACTGTGGCTTTAACAGCAGTCCCCCTCCGCGGCGGAAGGGGGCGGTAAGTGCGCATCAATAACATGGTGCCAACAACACTGTACTCCAGTCTTCCACAAACCCACAGATCAGAGGTCCGCACTCCCCCTGCCTTCAGTGAGGATGTTTAGGCCTTTTCTCTCGTTGTAGAACACCCCTGTGGACCTGCTAATGCCCCCGCAACCCCCTGGAGCATGAACTGAGCCCAACGCGTCATCTGCCGACTCAGAAGGGCGCGTGTGTTTTGATGCTAGCGGCGGTGACAGCAGTAGCTAGCATCCAGCATTAGCTCCACGGGCTAACACACCCCGGGACTGAGGAGGGCTTCCCCGGGACTATGCAGGGTGAAACGGCCACGGACACCGAAGGCAAAGCCGATGTGTTACCCCAGATTAAGACCCCAAATCCGGGGAGAGCCAGCGCCAAGAGCTGGCAGTACAGGTGGGTCATGGAGACGTGCTAATGGGCGATAATAGTGGATTAGCTCAGTTAATTAGGTCAGTGTAGTTATGAGTTAAAGCTGGGGTACGTAACTGTCACATTAGTGCAAATAACGAATAAACTACATAATACAATCCATGGTAAGGCAAAGCATTTATTTATATAGCACAATTCATACAGAAGGCAATTCAAAATGCTGAACAAAATAAAGCATTAAAATCATTAAATTATCACAGAACATTAAAAATAAATATACAAATATAAAATCCCTCAGTTGTATGCACAGCTAAACAGGACTATTTTTAACCTGGTTTTAAACATTGTCAGAGAGGAGGCCTGTCTCACACTTTCAAGAAGACTGTTCCAGATTTTAGCAGCATGAATCTGAAAAGCAGCCTCCCCATGTTTAGTTCTGACTCTGGGCACTAACAGGAGTCCAGTCCAATCCATGCCACTCTTGCACCGCTTTCAAAACAGTTTGGCTTCATCTCTATATTTCACATTCATGTTTTTTGTCCCATATTTAGATTAGCTTTTTCAGACACAACAGTGAAATGGAATGGACCAAAGTGTTAAATAATGTCTAACAGGGTTCTGTAATGTATGTGTTTATGCTAAAGAAGTTGTCTTATTGTAATAATGTTGTCTGATTTGTTCTCATCATTTTACTTTCTGTGCAAGATTTGTTATTTATGTAAAAGTTAAGTACCCTAGTTTTAACCAGAGACCTTTTAAGTATCAATCTCTAGTTTAGAAATGTTGAAAAAGCCCAAATCAAAACTGAAACAACTCAACTATTGTTCAGGGAGTTTGTCTGACCTGTCTTACAGTCTATATAGTTAAAGGGTGTGCCCAAAGTACACCGGGAAATGCTTTCGATAACATAGTAAACAACATAGTAAAAGTCATGAGTTTTTAAATTCGACTGTCTTGCAATTGAATGTGTTTAGGTGTCGTGTCATACATTTCTTTTGCATTATTATTGTACATGTGTTGTATTATTGGCAACATGTCTACCATTTTCCCAGTAATATAATGCGTCTCAGTATGTCACTTTTCTAGGCAATATTGGCTTAATTTTTGTTGTATATTTGTTTCAGTGAAGACTTTAAAGGAGGCTAATATGAAACTTACTTGAATTTATTTCAGTAATTTCACATGTCATAAAATCAAAACAAAATTAACATGAAAAATAACTGAACTTTCATATGAAAATTTAGAAATATCACTTAGGGTAAGGCTCTGCTGGGAAAAAAAAAATCATATTCTCACTTGATTTCTTCTTGGACAGTGACCACATGGAGAATATTGACGGATACCTGATGAAATATACCAACCTGGTGACTGGCTGGCAGTACAGGTAATGTAATGATGTTTTTCTGACAAACATTGCGATTATGATAGAAACGCCGTTCACTGTGTGTGTGTTTTTGAAAATAACTACATTTATGAGCCTTGGTCATCTGCCCTTTATGGACCTCTATCTAAGGCACCATGATGGGATCAGAGAATGCTGGTTAAAGTTCTTGTGAATGTCGTATAGGTTCTTTGTGCTGAACAACGAGGCGGGTTTGCTGGAGTACTTTGTGAACGAGCAGTCGCGGCCACAGAAGCCCCGCGGCATGCTACCGCTGGCCGGAGCAGTCATCTCCCCCAGCGACGAGGACTCGCACACCTTCACCGTCAATGCCATCAGCGGAGAGCAGTACAAGCTCCGAGGTGACGCTCATACTGCTCCTCTTCAGTCACAGGCCGGCAGCATTGATCTGCCCTCTATCTGTCGGAGGAAGATCAATGTGGCTCCAGCTTTGATCAGGGCCAATCTTACGGCATGTTTGCTCTGTATTTTCAGCCACCGACGCCAAAGAGAGGCAACACTGGGTGAGCCGGCTGCAGATCTGCACACAGCACCACACAGAGGCCATGGGGAAGGTGAGCAGGGAGCTGGGGGAGCGAGAATTCCTCTCAAAATTGTGTGATTGAAATGTATATAATCCAAAAATCAAAACATTTGTGGCTTGAAAGATTATGCTATTCTGAGACTGTTTGTTTTTCTTCATTTGTCAGCTGGAAATTTTGATTTGTGAAATATTGATTAATTCATCAAAGGGATTTACTGAATTCTTGAAGGAAGCCTAAATATCTGGACACAGACCTGGAAAATGCGGTGGATAGTGTTTCCACAGCCCGGCAAATGGACCAGAACACGCGCAAATATGGAGACTGTAAATAATTTATGTCTTAGTGCGATGGCGCCCAGTATTGTACAGGAGCAAATGCATATCACTGAAGGCATTTTATTCTGCAGTCCATCCATAGTCCTTCATATTGCGTAAGTGACATGTCAATCTATGGCCCAGATCAGGGGGTCAAACTAGGGGTGGGCGATATGGGCAAAAATAGATATCTCAATTTTTTTCCCCAACTCCTGATAACAATATTGTCACAATATCTTTAAAATCAATCATTTTTACACAAAATGATCTGCAATATTTGTAATTATTTTCTAATTGACGATAATGCGATAAAGCATTAGCGATATTGTCGTCAACAGTCTATATCGCCCACCCCTAGGTCAAACCCATTTGGTCAAACACACGATTACAAAATGGTCCAGGGCAGAAAGCATTCTCTTTGCGGAGAGTTTGTTTCTTGTTCATCTTTTGCATCTTTGGTTACTTTATTATTAATAAGTTTAGATTTGTAGGATTGTTTTTCTTGAAATGTTTGGTTCTATTTGTAGAATGGATTAATTGGTATTAGGGCTGGGACAACGCGTCGACGTAATCGGTGACGTCGACGCAATCGGTGACGTCGACGCAAAAAATACACCGACGTATAATATGCGCGTCGGTGCGTCACACACAAAACAAAGATGGCGGCGAGCGGTAGCAATGCGAGTGCCGTGTTAGAGAAGTGCAAGCCGGTGTAACGCTGAGATACACTGTCTTGAAGAGATGCACAGCCTCAGCTGTTTATCATGTAATGCAAACCTGCGCATGCGCGTCTCACGGCAGCCGAAGCAAACCAAGATGGCGGACCGTGAATTTCTTTAAAAGTTAAAATACGAACGAATTCAGACACGAATGTCACTTTTAATGCAATTTGAGGCGATATGTTGATGGTTCCGTTTTGTCACATGTGGGTTTTAAGAGTCAAAGTTTCGTGCAAAGTTTAGTTTAAGCAGTCAACTGCGCCTGTGAAACCACAAAGCTAATGTTTTCATAGCAGTCCGCGGCTGCTGACGTAGGCTGATGACGCGTCCTGTGGCAACTCTACACTCTTATGTAGCCATGACAGGCTGATGGCTCCCACTGTTTTTGCTGGAAAAGCACTCTTTGTTTAGCTTAAAGCCTTCAAGTTTACATTGGTTACTGTTTTCTTTTAGTTGCTCTACACAAGTATTTGGCTGAACTTTTTCATATTTTTATTGAATGCTAAGCATCAAATGTTTGTTTCAAGAATGATAAGATGCACTTTTTTCAGTAAGCTGTGTTTTCAAGGCTTTAAGGTTTTATGCTACCTCTAAGAATGTCTTATTTTTTAATTTTAAGAGCAAGCAATACATATTTTTTGTGAAGGAATTCATGTTTTTTTCATTAAAATATTTAAATCAACATGTATACATCAATATTAGTCAATTAATGGGGAGATAATCGAGAATCGAATCGAATCGAAATCGAATCGAAGCGAAAAAAATAATCGTTAGATTAATCAATGCATCGAAAAAATAATCGCTAGATTAATCGTTTAAAAAATAATCGTTTATCCCAGCCCTAATTGGTATAGCGGTTTTCTTTAGCTATCAGAAATATAGTATAGTGTAGGGCGACAGTAGCTCAGTTGGTAGACCTTTGGGCCTGAAGGTCGTGGGTTCGAGCCCACCGCAAGACCTACTTCACGATTCCCACTCATGACTGCTGTCGTTGTGTCCTTGGGCAAGACACTTAATCCTACTTTGCCCAAAGCCCCAACTGAAAGATCTCAGCTCCTGTGGACTCACCACCTGCAGGAGGATAAGTGAGGGGCTGGTGCTCTGTGTACTGGCTGCAGCTCTGACTGCCACCCCCCTGACCCAGAAATGGATTAAGGGGAAGAAAATGGATGGATGGAAATATAGTGTAACATACCATGATGCACACTCCAACCTTGCGAGGTAATAATGGTAATCTGTAATGATATTGGGGTCAATCAGAATGGTGGGTTGTACTGAAAGTTCCAGAAGGGTCTGCTCTGGACACTGGACCCACCGTCCTTACTGCTGCTGACTGGACTTATCCTCACCTCACCCCCAGTGGCTGCAGTCATGTCACTTAGCACCCCAATGTGTCACCCAAGACATGGAGGTGCTGTGTGCGCTACCATCATTTATCTCCTGCCTTTTATGTCTAGCCATAATGCTGTCGTTTTTGTTGTAAAATAAACTTCTTGATGTACTGTGATGTTTGAAGCTTAAAATGTTAGCATTATTTTAAACATAGATACTAAATCTTACTAAACTAATTTATGACATTATGTCGCGTCACTTTGTTGATTGTAAGCCCTTTTTCATTACAACCTAAACAAAAATAAAGGGTTCCAATAACTCAACACAACATTCTAGGGCTGTGGTCTAAACACGTGCCCTTTACTCGTGCCTGAGATAGGGAATCTCTAAATACTCTGCTTATCAAAACAAAAGAGCTCAAAAATAGCAGTATTTCTGAGCTCTTTGGAAGTTTTACAAAAAATTGTTTGTCATTCACAGAAAATAAACTATTTACTGATTCAGCAACTAAACAAACTACATTTTTTAATTTCATCCACAGTCCCCACCCCCTCACAGAACACTCCATGTTGAATTTGACTGATTCTTGACATTTGTTTTGCCCCATACAAGCATTTTTTGTTTATTATTTTTGTTGTTAGAGGGCAGTACAATACAAATTGTTTTAATGAGAGCTACACACAGACATTGCTACAGTTCTGGAATGCCAATATTTTGGGCCAAAGACAATAAAAAGCTGCAGAAAACCATGTCCTTCTCCTCTATTCTGATCAGCGTTTGCCTTGTGTCTACAGAGTAACCCTCCTCCGAAGTCGCGCAGCTACTCCATGGCGTCGCAGGGCAGTGGCAGCTCGCCCATGTCCATGCGGCGGCCCAGCCAGAATCCTCCTCCATGTTCGGCTGGTCCCAGGCCAAAGGCTCCGCGCTCTACTCCAGCAAGAGGTCCCTGCTGCCGGACCACCTGCTGGACGCCAGGGAGGTGCGCACTTCTCCCCTGCACCCGCCACAAGCATCTGAAATAATGTATTTGCCCAAACGTGTCTCCTGTCTAAATTATGGCTGTACTTGACCATGATTTTGATAATTGATCATGGCAGTTGTTCAGATCCCAAATGCTGATGAGTTTTTTTTATCAGTTGATCAAATAGAGATGTTTTTGACTCATACTTGGGACCCATGTGCCCTGATTCTGACAAAAACCTTTCTTCATATCGACATGAACTTTAATGTGACTTGACATACTCTGGCAGACATATTTCTGAGCTCTTTTTTTTTTCAATACAAGCACATACTGTATTCAGCCAATACTATGTAATTCCACAAAAACTACTGTAGTCGATAGTGAAATATTACCATTTGTAAGTGAGCTACTACTAAGGTCCTTAACCCATTTTAATTTATTTTAATATAGAAAGTATAATGTATTTTCTGTGTTTGCTTCAGAATATTTACTCTTGCGTTTCATGGTTTTGGAATGTTAACTTCAAACCATGAAATAGGGCTGCACAATATATTGAAAAAAATATCGCCATCATGAAATTGGTACGTGCGATATCCATATCTCAAAAGATGCGCAATAGTTTTTAAATATTTATGTATGCATTTCTTGTCCGCGTACTTTGACAAATCTGCTGCGACCTAGTGCCACCACACACTAGCGTGAATTATTTGCAAGTTGTGCCAAAATATAGTTGCAACGTTGAAGGGAAAAACGACAATCTCCAGAGCCACCTCCAGCACACTCACAAGGTTTATGCTGTGTATTTACAATCTAAAACTCCACAGCCTACTCCATGTCAAACCAAAGGCAAATGCACAAACCAGCATTATTGACCAATACGAAAACTTCTAAGCGACACAAAGTTTTAACCCGCCCTTATAAGCTGTCAAGCTGTCAGAAATGGGGGCTCGTCCGGGTTTCTGTCACGACCCGGCTCAGCTTAGGTGTAAGGAAGTAACAAAATAACCAAGATGTTAGAATGGTAACTAAAATCGTAATTTATTAAGATGACAAAATAGGTAAAACTATCTACAAAACAAAGAGTAAATAGATAACCTATTCTACGAGTAAGCAATGACAAAACCAAAGGTGTAATCTAAACTACAGAAGTCACTCAACTAAAGTACCGGCACAAGTGACATAACACAGACAAAACTAAATGGCAAACTGGAGTCCACTGACTCCAACTGCCCCGAGCCGCGGATGATTGACAGCTTATAAGGGCGGGTCCTAAGGGAGGAAACAAACACACGGAGACACCACGGGAGAAACTAAAGTTATCCCCAAAATAGGGAATTACGGGCCGTGGGTAACAGTTCTGATAAATTTTTCTCTGATTTTTCTTTTGTGATTCAATGCACTTTTAGGTAAAAGACAAAAATATTACAATAATATTGTTATCAAACTATTTAACACCCATATCAAATATTGCTCTAATTTCCAATATTGTGCCCCACATGAAACTAAGTTACTCAAATATGTGGTTACTTTTGTATTAGAGAAGAAGAACTGTAACGCCCCAAATAAATGTCCATTGAAATGAATGGCATTCATTTGAAATGCCCTCTTCTATATCTGGTCCAACACTTCGCCTAAAAAGAAACTAAACATGTTTCGTAGAAGAAATGCACTTCTACAAAACATACAGAGTTTACTTTTGTGAAGGATTCTAGATCATAGGGTAAAGCTACAATATTGAATGTTCAGGCCACAGGAATCATCTAATGGTGTTATGCTTTTTAGGCTTGCTTGAAATATGTACATTACTTATAATTCTTCACGCAGTTTGAACATAGTCTCCAGTGGCCTGTTTGACTGATGGACTGCGTACTCGAAGAACTGTGCTGTTGTTAGAAATACCTCAGGTGTTATGTGGACGCTCTGAGTGTAAGGAGACTCTGAGCGTACGTTTAAATTAGACACAGGATCTGAGGAGGCGGCCATGTTCTCTCCATGTACACTCACGAACGACTGAATTAGTGAGCGTGTTTGCTTTTACAGTATGTAAAATTCCGAATAAATGGATTGGATTAGATTACAAACTGTAAAAGACGAATTAAGAAAAATGCACATATAAGATTTATCAGCCTAATTGATGGGCTTCAGAATACGTTTTTTAAGTAGTAGTAAGTAGTACTAAGTAATCTTTATTTATATACCGCCTGTTTACTGCACATCGGAGTCTCAAAGCGGTCTACAATTGGGATTTTTGGGAGTGGGGGTGCCAGTACAGGAGGCACATGCCAGACCTATTGTACATATTTTTAGTGGTAGGGGAAACCGGAGCACCGGGAGGAAACCGGAGCACCGGGAGGAAACCTACGCAGACACGGGGAGAACATGCAAACTCCACTCAGAAAGGCCCTGGCTCAACCGGGATTCGAACCCAGGACCTTCTTGCTGAGAGGCGAGAGTGCTATCCACTCAGCCACTGGCATTAATTATTTAAATGTTGTAACATGGATAAAGCTGCTAAAATGTCACATTTCTTCCGCATGATTTAAACTTAGCAGAGACTTTGACAAGACCAGGATTAGGGTGAATGCAGCCTACTCATAAAACCAACTGCGAAATTATGCTGTGAGGGAAAACTGGAGTCCAGAGTTGGCCCTCTTATTGAATCATAAAAACATGATTTATCTGATGTAAACTGTCTGTGCAGATGATGAGCCAGGCGCACGGGCAGCACAGGGAGCTGCTGGAAGGGATCGAAGGTCTTCCTGCGGCCCCCGGACTGTCTCCTCTGGACCAGGACCTGCTCATGCTCAAAGCCACGTCCATGGCCACCATGAGCTGTCTCAACGACTGCCTGCATATCCTACAGCTGCAGCAGCTGGCCCGGCAGAGGGGCACGCTTGCAGGTACCACTGCTCTACACTGGAGTTTGGATTTCACTTTCCTTTTCATCTTCACTACTTCATTTGCTCTGAGGTACAACGTTTTACCTCACTTTTCAGAGCAGTTTTTAGTGGAATATTTGATACTTTGTGGACAATAGTATCCCGAGCCAGGACAATAATTGTTTTTGAGGTGTGGAATTATCACTTTTGCGATATTATTGCCTACAAAATATATATTGCCCACCATGTGCAATAGGCTTTTGTCACGATTGGCTTCATAATAATGATAATAATTCACTGGTTTCTTATCGCGCCGTTTTGGACACTCAGACGCTTCACATGTCATATTCATTCACTCCATCAGCCACAGCTGCCCTGGGGCACACAGACAGAAGCGAGGCAACCAGTATGTTCCATTGGCCCCTCCGACCACTACCAACCATTCACACACACACCAGACTCATTCTAGGCAATGAGGGTAAAGTGTCTTGCGTAAGCACATAACGGCAGTTTGGCACTTTACAGTCGCAGCCGCCACCTGGTGTTCCCAGAGGTCAAGTGTCTTGCCCAAGGACACTCAGTACCTTCAGGCTCAAATTCTACCAACTGAGCTACTGTTGCTCAGTACCATATTTTTGTCATTAGGGCAGCAATACAAGGGCTGCTACTATTAATTGAATAAAAGCAGGCCAAACATGTGTAACCTAAATCTATAGGTATATGCTCTGGCGTTGGACACGTCTCTTTGTCCCCATCTCCCCTGGCAGTGCTGGACAGTGGAATTATGTTGAATTATTGATGTTGGGCCTGTACCTTTTCTTACCCGTCTACTCTACAGTAATTAGATCTGGGGTTGTTTAACTATGTGCTCGTATCTATTAGTTGTTTGTAGCTACAGATTGGCTACAGCCCGAGCACAGACGGGTCAGGAGGTGTAAGCTGCTGCTACTTAGGAGGATTTTGATGATTTGTCATGTGAAAGACCCAGATAAAGTCTCGGCCCTTGTGCACAGATCTGGTTACGCAATGTATATTTCATTAAGTCCGACTGCGCACACCGGCCAATCAGATCACTGCACCGAGGTGGATTAGAATGAAGCTTCCCCGCCTTTCAAACATGCATTAAAGATCCCCAATCGTAGCACACACTCCTCTGGTGTGTTTGTGGGAAACAGTCTGTGTAGGAGTAGATTTGGCCCCTGGGAGCCTTGAGTGTGTGCGTGTGTTTGTGTGTGTGTGTACACGGGCCTCACGAGGGAGGGGCCCCGGCACCATGAGCGTCTCTGACACCGTTGCTTCCATCGCAGGGCCGACCATCGAGTGGCTGGAGCCCAAACTGCCCGAGCTGCTGAAGAACGGAGGAGGCTTTCCCCAAGGAGAGGGCCCACTGGAGGGGCCCCGGCTAGAGCTGAGCACGCCAGACTCCAGCTGCTTCTCACAGGTATGACACACAAACACATATATGGTCCAGGACAGGTGTACTGTGCAAAAGCACATACAGTTGTTTGGCTTTGAAGGATTTAGGCAAATGAACTTTCTCTGTCCAGGGCTGACACGAATTCTGAAATGCATTGGTAGAAAGTATATTTATACTATGTAGTGGTGTCCACTCACTCCATCTTTCTAGAGTCTGTGTTTGGACAATAATTCTTAACTGGGAACTAACAACTGTGGAACCATTCCCCTCTGGAAATGATTTTAAGCCCCATCACTCGAATCAGAAGACATCGCCTCATAAAGAATCTCTATCCTCACTATTTCAGTGATTCTTCAAACTTTATTTTCACCTGTGTTAAACTAACTGGCACTGCCACGTTAGCAACATCCTACATTTTAAAAGTTGGAGAGTATATTGTTTTATGAGTAAACATAGTTGATGGCACATTTATTATGGCATAGATTTAGTTTGAAAGTTTACTATCACACCGACCACATAATTGATTCATAATTCAATCAAACAAACAAACCTGTCACAAGACTTCAAGTTCAAGAACGACAATGACAAGATCGATGATGTTTTTCTGTGGGAATCATTGTTGTGGTAGAGCTGTTTAGATCTGGCCCAGTCTGTTGTGGGTCACCCCTGAAGAGGCTCCGGTTTCAGTCTGCTGTTTCCAGGACTGGCAGCTGTGACGCCAGCAAACGTCAAAGGCAACACAAGTGGGACAAGTGCATTTACATACGGATCCACTGATATCAAACTCCACTTTCACCCAGGGCTGCACATGCTGATACTGCTGTTTAGACGTATTCAGAATATGTTTTCAAATGCACTGCTGAGTGTGGCCTAAGTTCATCTTGAACTCACCAATAAAGATCCCATTATCAGATGATCTGGTAAAAAAAATACTTGATTCTACTCAGGGCTTATTGACTGTCGACCACAACAATTATGTCTTACTTAATGTTTTAAGGTTTATTATCATTTGTCATAATAGGTAATAATACGTAACCGTGAATTGAGAAGTCTTACAAAATCACACAGTGGACAACATGGATGTAATTAGTCACGAATCCTAAAAAATTGCATTATTATGGGACATTTCTAAAAGTGAGTGAGCCAGCCTGTTTATGTGCAGTGTGCCTGTTGCGGTCCCTGTTTGAGAAAGACATGAGAATCTGTTGTACATTCCAGGCATAGCTAGAACACCTCCATGGAAAAAAAAAAGAAGTCTCACGCCCTGTTAACATTAGCCCTCGCTTCGTTTGCTGAATTCTCAACTTAAATCCAGTCAGCTGCTACATGTTAGCTTTGCACCGCCAAGCCGGGCCGTGTGCGTGTGGGTGATGCAAAGGAAACTCAGTGGATTTTATCAAGTTAAACATCAAGACTGCAGGTGCCTAAATCCTTCTGACACTCGGATTGAGAGTACTGACACAACTATTTAGCCATGTCGGTCTCAGTGGATTTCTGATTTGTCTTTTTACATTGGATTGAAGGTAAATATTGGTTATAACCTGTACCTGTAGGCATCCTAATGAGATGTGTGGAGATGATGAACTGTGTGTGTATCTGTGCTCAGGAGGAGGAGATGGACCCCGAGGATGAGGTGGAGGACACGTTCTCAGACACAGAGGAGGACCTGGGGGCTGTGGAGGAGGAGCGCAGCATCATCCTGCACCTGCTGTCCCAACTGAAGCTGGGCATGGACCTCACCCGGGTAAGAGAGTCCATAGCTATGACTGAGCCAAAGAGCCTTCTGTAGCTGCTATACCTAACTTTTTTGTTTCATGAATGATACAGATTTTTTGTCACAGTAAGTTGTGAACAATCAGGACCACAGCTTGTATTTCAAGAAAACGTGCTCTTTGTGCTCTTTTGTATACTAAGATGAAACCCAATTTGACGCTTTGGGTTTAGAGCTGCTCATGGGCAAAGTAAGGTGTTCTGAAAAAGATATAGAAGATGGAACTAAACTGTTTTTAAGTTATATGTTGATTTTACTGAAACATATATGTTGATTTTACTGACTCTGTCCTATGGACAGAGTCTGTCCATAGGACAACAATCAGTTGTGCACTGCACAAATCTGGCCTTTATGGAAGAGTGGCCATTTCTCAAAGATATCCAATAAAAGTCTCTTAAAGTTTGCCACAAGCCACCTGGGAGACACCAAACATGTGGAAGAAGGTGCTCTGGTCAGATGAAACCAATATCAAACTTTTTGGCCACAATGCAAAACGATATGTTTGACGTAAAAGCAACACAGCTCATCACCCTGAACACACCATCCCCACCTCAGCTGTAGTTATCTGCAGTTCATCCAGAGTGATGATGGGCCTCTTGGCTGCATCTCTGATCAGTCTTCTCCTTGTTTGAGATGAAAGTTTGGAGGGACGGCCGGGTCTTGGTAGATTTGCAGTGGTCTGATACTCCTTCCATTTCAATATAATTGCTTGCACAGTGCTCCTTGAGATGTTTAAAGCTTGGGAAACCTTTTTGTATCCAAATCCGGCTTTAAACTTCTCCACAACAGTATCTCGGACCTGCCTGGTGTGTTCCTTTGTCTTCATGGTTCTCTCTGCGCTTTAAACAGAACCCTGAGACTATCAAAGAGCAGGTGCATTTATACGGAGACTTGATTAGACACTGGTGCATTCTATTTATCATCATCAGTCATTTAGGACAACATTGGATCATTCAAAGATCCTCACTGAACTTCTGGAGTGAGTTTGCTGCACTGAAAGTAAAGGGGCCGAATAATATTGCACGCCCCACTTTTCAGTTTTTTATTTGTTAAAAAAGTTTAAATTATCCAACAAATTTCATTCCACTTGACGATTGTGTCCCACTTGTTGTTGATTCATGACAAAAAATTAAAATTTTATATCTTTATGTTTGAAGCCTGAAATATGGCGAAATGTTGAAAGGTTCAAGGGGGCCGAATACTTTCGCAAGGCACTGTATGTGCTGGGATGTACGATTATGCAGTGGGCATTGTTGAGACAACACAATGAATTTTGAATGTTGAATTTTGACGCTTCATTTTGTGAAGAGATTTATTAAAATGGTGTTTGAGTTTCATTTGCATGAAATAAATTGGATGCTGCATGATGGGACCTTAGAGCATAGTCCTCAGCAGAAATATTGTGTGAGAGTATCTTTCTTTATTCTTTATTCTTTACATGTGTTTAACGATATACCAAACAATACATCAAAGGATCAAAATATACAGTTCACATGTCAGAATAGGAGCATGTTGAAGACCGAGTCTTATTGTTCATGCCCCTAAAGCAAAAAAGAAAAAAAAATAACACTTATTTTGATGATGATGAGCGCCTCAAAAAAATAAATAAAAATACAATCTACACACATTTGCTTATATACAATATACACACATTTAGTTTCCTCACAGTATAATTACTATTGTTATTATTCTCTTTTTTTTTTTTTTCTAAATTGTTTTTTGAAATATGTATTGGTCAATGATTAACACACATTTTACTTTATTTTAACCTCCAATTCCAAATATTTTGTACATGCATATACACACACACACAAATATGCACACATCAAAGTATGTACGCATACACACACCCACACACAGGCATGCACATATCAAAGTATGTACACATACACACACACAGGCATGCACATATCAAAGTATGTACGCATACACACACACAGGCATGCACATATCAAAGTATGTACACGTACACACACACACACACACGCACACAGGCATGCACATATCAAAGTATGTACACATATGCACATAAATCTACATACAAATACATTCATATCCATACATATTCATCTACACATATCTATATTTGTCCATTAAGTATAAAGTATACATGCGTTTCATTTGGTCTATGGTGTGATGTGATTGAAGATCGTTGCCCAAACTGTTCCAGAGCCTGATTCCAGAAACAACAAAGCCTCTTTGTTTTAGTGACGTGCGGGTAAATGGTACACAAAAGTTTCCTTTCCTCCTGCTGTCTTCAGTGATTAAAATGAATTTCCTGTAAATGTGCTCAGGAACCAATTGATTTCTGATTTTCCACATGGCTAATATAGTTTTTAACTGAAAAAGATCTGAAAATTTTAAGGTGTTATGTTTAATGAAAAGATCATTGGTGTGGTCTCTTGGACCTTTGTGATTAATGATTCTTATTGCTTTCTTTTGGAGCAGGAAAACTTGATTTGTGAAACTTTTGCAAGCATTGCCCCAGACCTCAATACAATACAGAAAATATGGCACAATTATAGATGTATAAATCCTGAACAATGCTTTCTCATCAAATATATGTTTAACCTTATATAAAATACCAATGGATTTACTAATTTTATTATTTATATAGTTAATGTGACTTTTCCAATTAAGTTTATTGTCTAACTTGACACCCAAAAATTTTATTTCTGAAACATTTTCAATAGTTGTATTTCCGATAATAATTTCTTTCTGTTCTGAATGTTTTCTAGTTCCAAAAATCATACATTTAGTTTTTTTCCAATTTAGATATAAATAATTGCTATCAAACCATGTTTTTAGTTGTGTCATTTCAACTTCCATGTCTGTTATTAATGCGTCTAAATCATTTCCAGCTTTGCAAACGGTGGTGTCATCTGCAAATAAAAGAAAGTCCATGTTTTTGGTAATTTCATGAATATCATTAATGAATAAAATAAAAAGTTTTGGGCCAATTATGGAACCTTGAGGAATCCCAGATATGATTGTTTTACAGTCAGAGTTACTGCCATTTATTTGAACATATTGCTGTCTGTTAGTTAGATAGCTTTCCAGCCATTTATGGATCTGGCCTCTTATGCCATAATTATTTAGTTTTGTTAACAATAGTTTATGATCCACCGTGTCAAAAGCTTTCTGTAGATCTAAAAAAATACTGACCAAGTATTGCTTTTTGTCAATAGCTGCCAATATTTCATCTGTTAGATGAATGAGTGCAAGAGAAGTTGATCTGTTTGATCTGAATCCGTACTGGTGTTCAAAAAGTAAATTATTTCTCTCTAAAAATGCATCAAATTTCTGTGTGAACCATTTTTCTATGATTTTGGAAAACTGAGATAATAATGACACTGGTCTGTAGTTATTTAATAAATGATTATCGCCATCTTTAAATAAGGGTATTATTTTAGCAGTTTTCATTTTCTGAGGGAAAATGCCAGTGCTGAAAGAAAGGTTGAAGATGTAGGTCAGAGGAGTGAGGAGACAGTCGATGGTCTTCTTTACTATGATCATGTCCAGGCCGTCACAATCCACTGAGGTCTTATTATTGCATTTTTTAACAATGTTAAAGATGTCATTTTCTGTTATTGCATTGAGGTACATTGAGTGTAGAATTCTACTCCCTCCACTCTCTGACCTGCAGTTGGTAATAACTTGCTTGGGATTGTCTGAACTGCTTGCAATATTGGCTCCCACATTTACAAAGAAGGAATTAAACTCATTAGCTGCATCAATGTCATTGTTTATGTGTTTATCATTATGTATAAAGTATTCTGGTAGTTTCTTTGATTGGGCATTTGGCCGCATTACTTTATTCAAAATTTTCGAGGTTTCTTTTATATTATTCTTATTCTCTTCCAATTTGTTTTTGTAATAGTCTTTTTTAGCCCAACGCAGTATGATTGTTAATTTGTTTTTATACGCTTTATATTTATTATCAAGAATTTGAGTTCTGTATTTCAGAAAGTTTCTATACATTTTGTTTTTCTTTTGACATGACCTCTGTAGCCGCGGGGTTATCCATGGTTTATTCTCAAATGCAGTTCTATTTTTGCATAACTTTAGTGGACAGTTTTTATTATAGAGTGTTATAAAAGTGTTTAAAAATTCTTGGTAGGCCTCATTCACATCTGGCACATACACTCCTCCCCAATCTTGGATACACAGGTCATTTCTAAATGAGTTTAATTCCTCCTCTGTTCTTCTTCGTATGTATTTAGGTTTCACAGAAACACTTTTATTCTGTTTAGTAGTTTTTAGTCCACAAACAATAAAAATGGGCAAGTGGTCACTGAGGTCCGTTACAAGTATACCGCTAAGAAGGACGCTATCAATGTCACTAAAAAAAAATATTATCAATTAGAGTGGCAGCCGTGCATGTGACTCTGGTGGGTTGGGTTATTACTGGAAACAGACATCGACTGTGCATTTCGTTGATGAAGTCTTCTGTGGTTGTACTTTGATGTGGATTTAGAAAATCAATGTTAAAATCACCACATATCAGCTTTGTTTTGTTTGTTGCATTAAAGTCACATAATTCAGAAAACTTCTCTTTAAATTCCTCAATTTTAGAGCCTTGTGCTCTGTAGACACAGACTATAGTAATATTTTCTTTATTTTCTAATTCTATTTCCACTGCTATGCATTCCATTAGGCCTTCAATCGCAACAGACAAACGTTCCAGTATTTTACATTTGAGTGACTGATCAATGCACAATGCGACACCGCCACCTCTTTTCCCTGGTCTATCGACGTGATAAAAATTATAACCATTTATTCCTATATCCACTCCCCTTTCCGTGTTTAACCATGTCTCAGAAAAGGCAATGACATTAAACTGAGTTTCCAGCGTATTCATATACTCGTCAATTTTATTTATGTTTGCATATAAGCTTCTACAATTGAAGTGTACCAAAGAAAATGAGCTCCCCGTTTCTGGGTTTAACTTAAGATCGTCTTTACTATAATAATTACAGGAAAAAGAACTAAAATCAAATATATTCCTATCCGGATCA